AGAACATGTTAATATCCCCCCTTTGGTAATGGCCTAAAGAAAACTTCAGTCAGTAGCACTGCCCTGAGTTTTTATTTGTGTTTTTTTTGTTTGTTTTTGTTTTGTTTTTTTGGAGGGGGGCAATAGTCTACCTAATGGTCTAGTGATAATGCATTCTGCCTGTAATTTTATTCTATTACTCCCACCCACCAAAACATTTTTTACACTGCTAATGACAGTTCCAAGCCTGCATAAATGAAGAGTGAGAATGTTTAGTATCATACATTGAGTGGACTAGTATAAGTATAGGCCTACCATCAGGTGAAACAGTTTTCAAACTGGTTTGGCAGCAGACTAAATTAGAATAGAAACATTGTGGTAGACCATCGAGTGGATCTACACTATTAGCGTGCTAGTACAAAGCCATCATGGAGTCTATGGAAAAGACATGCAGGCCTCAATCTTTTTTCACACATCAGTTTTTTAATTCTCCTGAGTTGACAGGTGTCATTTCTACTAGAGATGGGCCAAGAATCGATTCCAGAACCGATTCCTGTGATTATTGCCTCTGACAAAAAGAACCAATCCCATTTTCGTAAACTAAAGATTCTCAGTTACTTAATTTTTATCTTAATTTTTCTTTAAAGAATGTATTTTTGAAAAAAAAAATGTTGGTGCTTTGATATGTTCTGAAATCGAGGTTATCCTGAATCTTGAAGATTTAAGAAAGAGTACTCGGGACGCAAATTCATAGTTAAAGATTATATCGATCTAGTAAACACAGTGTCAAAACGTATCCATTGCTTTCGCCTTTTTCTTATTCATCTGTTGTTTTAAGATTCCCTTTTCTTTCAACTCTCTTATTCATCTGTTGTTTTTATATTCCCTTTTCTTTCAACTCAAAGTCTAAAACTGTACCGTCTGTCCACGAGGCTCTATATCATAGGCTCTCATTTCTCGATGTAGGTCAGTGTTGGTTTTCTGACATCACATTGTACAGATTGGGTGGGGTAGTGCTGGGGTAGCGCCCTCCCACCCCAAGTAATCAAAGGGGTCAGACTACACGTTACTCACCAGAAATAATTGTTGGTCTCGGACTAATCGCTCTCGCCGGAAGTAATTGCAGGGGTTTCTACTAATCGTTACTCGCCGGAAGTAGTCATAGGTATCGCTACTCAGCGAAAATAATTGTGGGGGTCGGACTAATTGCTACTCGCTGGGGGTAATTGCAGAAGTCGGACTAACTGGTAATTGCAGTATATACAATCAGGATACTGGCTAGGGGTCGAAGCCACTGGAAGAAATCATAGAGCCACAGGAAGAAATCACATCACTGGGTATAACAAAAGTAATTGGGTTCAGAACCGATTCCTACGATTCCTAACCTTAAATAATCGAGAATCTTCGTTTACCAAAAAACCCCCGGAATTGCCCATTTTTAATCTCTACAGCTGTGACTGAAGCCTGGAATAACTCTCAGACTTTAAAAAATGTCATCTAAATGTAAGATAATCTGCCACCCTGCCCAGCAGTTTCTGACCATAAGATGCAATCTAGTGAAAGACTCCCCATTCTTACATTTCCTGTGAAGAATGTCCTGATGGCAGCATTCAGAAACCATGAAAACAACAATTGGCGTCCATAGTAGGGATAGTGTCAAAAGAAGATAAAGTTAAAGGTGAAGACTGTTTGAACAAGCCACTTCCAAATCTCCAAGACGGATTTTGGAATCACAGAAAAAAGTTAACATGCACATTTGCAAAACAGACAAACAATAGTACAGATGTAATTACATCTAGACACAAGGTAGAGGGGCGCTAATGGCCAGGAGGTTAAGGTGTTCGCCTCTCATTCAAAGTAATCAAAGGTCTCAGGTTCGCATTCGGGTAGTGACGGAAAAATTTTCTTCTCTAAAATTGTCTCCTTTCACCTCCTTTTCTGCTCTCTAGCAGTGTTCTGTCGTCTGCTTTCGTCTCCACTTTCTGCCCCCATCCCCTCACCTCTTTTGCTTACCCCTCCTCTGGGCTCCGGACTCTTTCTGCAGCTTTTCTACTGCTACTCCTTGACTCCTTCATAGAATCATACTGCTTTCTTTTAGCTACACCCCTGATCTTCTGGTAGGAAAGATCTAAACCGAGTCTTTTCGGACAAGGGAAAAAAATCTCGGAGGCCTCGTGTGCAAGTTGCGCACGTTAAAGATCCCTTGGGGATCAAGGAATGGTGATGGGTCTCATTTAAATATTGAAAAATGCCTAAGCGTCTCAAACAGCTTCCTATCCAGCCAACCGTACCTACCCGTGGTGGTCCCTGTTTTCACTGACACGGCTCTGGCGAATGGCGAGTTGTAGGCACCAAGAAACCAACCCCCCCCCCCATTTCCTAGAGGGGTTAAAAGAACAAAATGGGAGCAGGTGTGGCTCCACAAAGTGCAGGAGCCAGAACCCACCGATGTGTGGTAGACGCTATGCTCCTCACTAACCCACCCCTGCTCTCGTCCAATCTGCCGAACACCTCTACTGCTCTTCATCAACACACCCTCTGTAGCTGACAAGGGACCAGCCAGTTTGGGAAGGCCTGGGTGCAAGGATGGATCAAGCAGGGTGCCTGACTTGCCCTCTGGCCGTGAACCTCTTAGTAAAGGCACAACGACCCAGGGCGTGACGATCCAATGGCTTTCCCACTTGGCCGAAACCTTATGCAAGAACTATAGCCAGTAGCCATTAGTGGTGGGGAATGGGCAACGTAAACCCTATCGGAATTACACGGTCACAGGGCAGTCAGGTCACCCAGCCTCATGAAAACCTGTGTACCCTCCTATCCTCAACTTGCATGGCCCCTTCTCAGGGAGGACATGCAGTCCACAGACACTCCCAGTCCACAATGTCAGGATAAAATGAACCTGGATCGATAACAACAAAGATCCCTTGGAGGTTTAAAATCGATAAGAGTAGGCTTCGGCCGCCACACGGGCAAAATTCAAAATTTCCTGCCAACTGAAAATGTTAAATGTGTCCTCCACGCTCATATGCATTTGCGAGCGCCATAAAACATTTTAAAAAACAAAAGACAAATGGTCCAAAGAGTAACAAACAGGCAATCTTCATACGTCTGGCAATCAGCTGGCAGAGCCAAAGAAAGCAGTAAAAAATACAACATGGCAACTCATTGCATGTAGACTGGCATTTGGAGTTGACAAGATAAAAAAACAGTTCATTGTTACAATTGAAATGTAAATTAATTGTTCCATACAAAACAAATAAACTTAAAAAGTGTTGGTTAACTTAAATAAACAGGAGGTTTAAGAAAAAGTACATTTTCTGTGTGCCCTTTGAAGTCATTTACTCACATAGAAAGTGCCATGAAGACCCCTTAAACTTAAATTGAAATCTACAAGACTGTCATATTTTTCTCCGTTAGCCTGGTTTTCCGTGATGAGAGGTTGCTAAAATAAAAGACAAAAAATCATGAATTTTATTTTCTTCTTTGTTAAAACTCTAACATTAATCGCATTAGAGTCAAGCAGACTCCACTGCAATTAGTAAATTTTGACTTAGATTCTTCCATTCTGGTCATTATTCTTTTTTACGTTGGGCACTAGAAGTACTAATATTCGCCAAAAGACATAAACTACACCGTAACGAGCCACCACCCAAACAAATATAATTAAAGAAGAGACCTAACCCTAACCATTACCCCTCTTCTACTCTGTCTCATTGTTGTCGCTCGTTAGAAGTCTTCCCTAAAATTCATATAAGAATCAAGCAAAAAAACTCTCTAGATCTAGATCTAGATCTAGATCTAGAATCTAAATATAGATTTCTAGATCTAGATAGGAAGTGTCTACATTCTCTAACGTTAGAGAATGTATACTTGAAGCTGTCCATATCTACGTTCTCTAACGCTCAGTGCTTCCAATTTTCTGCCTTTTTTTTTTTTAGTTTCCTCCAGACCTCATCTGCCGATCCGATGCCCGCCGCCTTATTGATACCCCCCCAATCCCCATGTTTCCGACTTTCTCACTTTCTTGGTAGTAGAAAACTAGATGTCTACACCTTGATCTGTTACTGCCTTTCCTGAAACAGTGAAATATAAAGCTGAATCTACCTCTGGTCGTTGGACGTTCTGATAGCAGAGAATGGTAAGCGGCAAGCCTGTCTGCGCTTGAAGTGATACGATTACTTTATGAGTGTGGGTTCGAATCCCGGTCCCGGAAGTTGTTGGTTTTTTTGTTTTTTTTTGTTGTTTTTTTTTGGGGGGGGGGTTGCTTTTTCTTCTTCTTCTCCTCCTCCCGACTGACCAACAATAAAACAATTTTCAATTATAATTATTTGTTGCTTTGTAATTTTTTATGTAGACTCTAGATTTAGATCTCTAGATCTAGATCTAGACTTCAGGGCAATTGTTTACTTTCTCGCGTTTAATTCCGGCCGCACTTAGAGACGAAATTCTAGTCACTGATTCAAAACTTGGCGCTGGACCAAGTTAAGAATACGTAAACCACGGCAATTTCATCATTTGTAGGTGTAGAAATCTACTTAACACACTGGCTTAAATAGGCCTTCTGTCTGTAGGCCTACTGGTTTTTATGACCATTGACCATTGAGTGTAATATTTCATGATAAGAATTTAGAGTGGTCGCTCGTCCTCCCCGGAATTAAACGGAATTAAACGCGGTAAACGCTAGAAAGAGACACCAGTAGATTTAGAATCTAGAATCTAGATCTAGAGGTGTGAGTATGGATATCTAGATCACATTTTAAGAGTTACAGCTCTAACCCCATGGGCGCCTTACAAATGCACATATCGACAGCACAAGAGGTTAGTGTCAGCAATTAGATCTGACCAAGTCCAAGTGGTTTCTTTCTCTAGCCTTCAGTCGAGCAGCTAGAAAATCTATAGTCTATAGAATGAACTTTTATGAAGAACAGAACAAATCGGAACGTGACATTGACTGACACACAATTAACACTTGTCAATCATTCTTATACAAAGTAGAATCTGGATAAAACTGAAGTCCTTACCTCAAATAACTTGACTTGAACAGTTATAATTTACCGGCTTACAAATTCCAACTAAAGCCGTTTTTCCTTCACGGTCTACTAGGCCAAGATCTAGCCTTTAGTGTTTGGCCTGTCGCGTGGCAGTGATCGCGGTCGGTCGCAGACAACGTCTTGCCTGCTAGACAGGCAGGAAACACACCCACATGTCGGTTGCAATAAAAAGATGGATCGGAAGTTCTGGAATACTGTAAAGCTTTCTGTTTACCAGGCCTACTGTTTTGGCTACCGGTACTTACAAAATATAGACGTCTAAGTCACTTTTCTAACGTTTATTTATTATTTATACTCCGAGGAGCAGTAGAGTTTTGTTGTACAAGACAAACATGGTGGACTATTTTCTACAGAATCGTGTATGGAGGGTGAAATCAAGGAGATTTTCAGCCCC